GCGCCCCCGTGCCCACGTGGTGGGCGTCTCCTCCTCACCCAACAAGCTCCCTCTCCCCCCTCACAGGCCAGTCTCTGGGCTTCCTGGCCCCAGAGGAGTCTCAGGCCTGGGGGAGTCAGAGCCCCGATGGCCGGGCCCGGTGTCCCCCCCTCGCCTCTTATGGTCACCCAGGACTGCCAAGTCCTCAGCCTGGAGACTGGGTGTTGGTGGTGGCTCTGCCCTGGCCTGGCTCTCTGGGGCAGCCCCCAACTCCTTGCATACACACCCTGTAGTGCTGCCACGTCCGTGGAAACACTGGCCCAGAAACACATGCTGCCCCCAGCCTGACTGACCAGCCTGACCAGCTCCGCTTTGCACATGGGACTTGTGCCAGCCAAGGCAGAGAACAGGCAGGAGGCATCTGCCAGTGGGCAGCCCTTCCTCCCTGGGCAGGCAGCCCTTCTCACTCAGTAACTTCCGTGGGCCACAGCCCCACTCGGTGTCTGTTGCCAAGTTCTCTCAGCTGCCTGTTCCATTCTGCCAGCTTGGGAGCCCTGTGGCAGAGGCATTACCTTCCGACTCCGCCCTGCCTAGTACCTCCATGGCTGCTCTGGATGACAGGGCTGGCTAGGCCTAGGGATCTTCTGGAGAGACACCCCTGCAGACAGGACCCCGGGGGCCCAGCCCTGCCTGGAAAGTGAATAGGCACTCAGCACAGGGCATACCCTGAGAGGGGGTTGGGGGGAAAGGATGGGTTGAGGTGGGAGTGTATCCAGCCACTGCACGACCCTGTCACCTCAGCTATAGTCCCTGGGCCATGGTCAGAGGCTCCCTGGTGTGACAACTTTCCTGGGCCTGGCAGGAAGGGACACGGATCAGTGAGGGCAGAACAGTGGTCCTGGTCTCCACTTTTGAGGCTGTGGGCCGCAGGCCAGGGCAGGGTGGGTCCTGCCTAGAGACGGTGGCACCAGACATGTGGTAATGGGAGGGTGGCAGGGTGTGGAGCAAGCGGGCAGGTCCAGAGGGCCAGGCGTGGGGCCGGTTGGCATGGTATCTTCCATCCCCTTCTATGATGATGCCCTCTATCATCCTCATGACGCTGGCAAGACCCCCACTTTCTGCTCTGTTGCAGAGGTACCTGGGCTGAGCTGAGCGGGGACAGGAAGCTCTCGGCAGAATGGGCAAGACAGGTCATCCTTACCACGCCCAAGTGTCCTGGCCCTGGGGGGCCGCTGGCACAGGTTGGGCTGTTGCCCCATCAGTAGGGAAGGGCTGAAGGACAGCAAAGCTGGGTGCCCGGTCCTTGCCTCCCAACTCGTACCCACTCCCTATTTCTAAGCTCAGGCTCAGACCCCGAGCAGCCCAGAGGGACACATGGCTGTCCCTACCTGCCAAGGCGGCTGGTGGGGGCACCACAGCCCAGATGTCTGACAGCAGAGGGTGCACGGCCTGGGAGAGGGCATTCTCAGGGCCTGCCTGCCCAAGGGATGGGACACCTCACAGCCCACGTCTTTTCTTCAGAGCAAGGGTCTTGGGAGGGGTGGGAGGGTTGCTGAGGTCAGAGGCTGGCAGCCCACACTGGAGGAAAGACCCCAGGCCTGGGGAGGGGAAGAGTGCTACTTGGAGGGGCAAGAGGCCGGGGTCTTCACTGAGCCCTGGACTCCAGCTTAGACACTACAGGTAAGTCCTTGGGCAGTGGGGACACTTAGAAGGGGTAGACATCAGATTAGAACTATGGAGGCAGGGCCCAACGGTCCTGGAGGGTGGATGGCATGTGTGCTGCATTCCTGACACCTAGGCCCGTCATCGTGCTGGGCCTCAGGACACCCCCTTATCTCTGTCTCCTGGGAGGGAGCAGAAGTGGTTTCTATTTTAATTTCCTGGCTGAGATTCCCACATTTCAGGGTGCCTGGGTGAGGCTGGGAAAACAGAAGGTGGGGTGGGGAGGGTTGGGACAGAGGAGAGGCCTGGCCTAGTCCTCTAGGCCAGCTGAGGTAGTACAACCTAAGGGTGGACTGTGTGCCAGGCCATGCCTGGGAAGGGAACCCCCTCTGCCGGCCGGCTGGGTCTGCACCTGTCTCCAGGCCTGCATGGGTGAGTGGGAGGGGGGCAGCCGAGGTAGGGTTTCTGGGAATGGACTTGCCAAAATCTGAGCGAGTTCTCACTGCGGAAACCGCACACCTGCTGGTCTGGGCAGAAATCCGGACAGCTGGGCCAGAGCCTTCCCTGGCAGGAGGGGGCCGTGAACTACGGGGCCAATAGGGGCGGTCCTAAGTCCACAGCCATGGACACAGCACAGCCGCCCTGTGTGAATGGGCCCAGCCCTGGCGACCGCCAGCTAACCTTTGAGGGAGGGCAGTGAGCGTTGGGCTGGCCCTGCAGGGCAGGTCTCTGGATAGAGACAACGTGCGGCAGAGCCTGGGGGCCAGGACGGCTGTGGGGCCACATGCTGCGCTCACCCAACTTCTTGAGGGTCGTCCTCTAGGGCAGAGCCACAGCCCAAGGCTGCCTGCCTGTTGAGCAGGGCCCAGCCCCTCCCAAGGGGTGGCCTGTCCTGCCCCCATCCTCAAGTGTGTTGAGGGCAGGGAGGCTCCAGCCTACCTAAGTCAGGGAAGGGGATGAGAACAAAAGACACAGGGAAGGGTCAGGTGGCTTTTTTTCCTTTTTATGAGATTTTTTTCTTTGTTTTTGTTTAATATGAAAATTACTTGAAAAGACAAGGGGCCAACCCCTCCGGGCAGCTCGGCCGGCCGCGGCCACACAATCCTAACATTCCAGGTGTAAGTTACAGAGCTCAAGTTCATCTACAAAAAAAGTAATAAAAATAAAATTTAAAATGGCACCTTCAACAGAACACAACGAAACCTCGGGGCCCAGCCTCTGGGCAGGGGCCCACAGCACAGGGCAAAGGCGCCCACATCTCCGCTCCAGCCAGAAAGAAAACACAAAGCTGAAACGCTCCGGCATTCTCGGAATAAGTTAGCGTCTTCTCCTTCCCCGCGGGTCCTCCTGGAGCGCGTTTCTCTGCGAGTGAGGTGGGGGTGGGGCACTACCAACTGAGGAGGGCAGTGGGCGAGGGAGGGGCTGCGGCCGGCTGGGGCAGGCGGGGGTCATGGGCAGGCGGCGGCAGCCCCTAGTCCTCGATGACGATGGGCTCGTCGTTGACAGGCGCGGGCGGGGGTGGCCGCAGCGGCAGGGCCTGGCTCTGGCGCAGGGCGATGGGCTTGTAGGGCCGGCGGGCAGCACGCTTGGTTTCCGAGGACGAGAGCAACTTGCGGATCTTCCTGTGAGCAGAGGCCACGGTGAGGGCAGCAATGCCTTGGCCGTTCCCGCCCACCTGGCCAGCCGGCCCCGGGGAGGCCCCACCTGGTCTCCTCGGTGGCCATGTAGAACACGTCATCCGGGGCATCAATCCAGTTCATCCGCCGCCGCTTGACAGGGGGCAGGGAGCCCCCCCGGATCAGGCGCACTTTGGTAGGGTAGGACTTCCCATTGAGCAAGAGGTTCCGGCTTGGTCCCTGCAGGGAGGGAACGTGTCTTTTCAGCCCTTGGCAAGGCCCGCCTCCACCTCCAGAACTCCTGGTGGGTGGGCACACCGTGGTGCCACACCTTCTACCAGGCCACCACGCAGAGAGCCACCTGGAGCCCCACCCCCCCAGGGCACCCCCAGGGGCTGCTCAGCCCCAGCCACAGGGTGTGGTGCAGGGCCACGGCCGTGCCTGCCGCTGAGCCTTCTCTGCTCCTGCCAGCCTCTCCCCAGAGACTCCCTCGTGGCGTCCAGCAGGGCAAGCCTGGGCCTCCTCCCAAATGCCCCAGGGAGTGGTGTGGTGCACATGTGTGAATACACATATGCTTGTCATAGACTGCCCCTTACCATGTGCCTGGTCTGTCCGTGGTTTGTCAGACCTGACAAGAAAAGAACAGGAGATGAGGCTGAAGAGGAAACACATCCTGCACCCACTGGCCCACAGATGGAGGAGGCTCCCTGGACACACAAAAACCTCCAAAGGCCGCCATCTCCCACCCCCACCAGGCCACAGCCCACACCTAGCAGGGGCCTGAAGCACATGGTTGTCTCGGCTCCCCTAGTCCCAGCCTAGCCTGGCAGCCCTGGGGCTCCCTGGCCAGCAGAGGCTGCATCAGCTTGGGCTCTAGGCAGGAGACCAGGGGTCAGGGATACGACGGCTCACTCCCCAAAAACAGGCCACCCACCCACTTGCCCCATGACGCTGAGGCAAACGAAGCCATGTCTGCTTGGTCACCAGGCGACACCCAGCACAGCTATCCACACAACAGCACCATGGGCCCCCTACAGGCAGCCATATGGTGGCTGGTGCTGCTGACCCCAAGAGGCCAGGCCTCTCCTCTCTGGTCTCTGAGCTGCCCTCACTGCCCAGTGCCAGGGAGTCTGAGTTGAAAGCTCCTGCAGGGAGATGGGTCACTTACAGCCCCCAGTACCATCCGGGGCCCGGCCTCCCAGCACGTGCTCGGGGCCCTGACTTCCAACAGAGCAGGTGAGGACCCAGCTGGCACTGCAGGAGCTGGGCTTTAGCGGCAAGCTGGGTTCTAGTCTTCCCCTAGCCTGGGAGCCAGAACTGGGCCCACGCGGGGCTGCCTTGGCCGCCCTGCCCCGCCATGAACATGAGTGTACACATGTGTGCCTGAGGGCTACAGACAGATGCTGGTGTGGGGTGGCCCAGGACCAGCCCCGGGAGGACAGGATGCCACTCTTCACTCAACCAGCGAGCGTCACAGCACCCGGCCAGTCCCCTCAGCTGAGGCCTGTCCCTTAAAGAACAGGAGCCCGGTCCAGCCTCTCCCCACCTGCAAACAACCCTCACTTGGGGCACTCCCCAGCGTCGGCAGGCCTTGGGGCCAGGCCAGCCTTCTCCCCACTTGCTGGTTCAGCTCAGTCAGGCAGAGTAGGGGCAGGGTCCAGGCCAGCCACACTTAAGGCACCTGCGTCCAGGGCTGGCATGGCTCGAGAGCTACTTACCCAGGTAAGTGCCTACCAGAGCGATGGACAGCAGAGGAAGAAAACACACGCTTTAGAGTTAGCGGATAGCAAGTGCCTGCCAGCAGGCTAGGGTGGGGCAGAGCAGCAGCCGGCCCAGGCAAGTGCCTGTTTTGCAGGCAATGGCCTTGCAGTGCTCGCACCGCCCAGGCTGGACAGAAATCCCACCCCATCTGCACCGGTGTTCCCAGGCCCTGTCTCCATCCAGAGGGTCCTTAGCCCACCGCTCCCCCAGTGCCTGATTCTTGGAAGTGGTGCCTAGGATGCTCACGGCCTGCTGGTGGCTGACCTCTCTGGGACTGGGCCTCACCCAGCAGCCCACTGAGGCACTCCCCTAGGGACAACCCCACAGGAGGCTCCCCATGGCTCACAGGGCTGCAGCCAGAGTGTGGAATTCAGAAAATTCAAAGGGGACACATGGACTTTTATCCAACACACTTGCTAAGTCCTGTTTATAAGACAAAACCAAAACCTCAGAGATGCCTGCTACAAGGATGCTTCCGAGGGGATCTGATGAGACCATGCCGAGACTCCCCAGCGGGGCCAGACAAGCATAGCTACCCAGGCCTGCATGGTCCACACCAGGCCATGGGGCAGCCCCAACGCCAATACTGAGGGGTTGCCCAATCAGAGGTGGGTGGGGCTGAGGGTGCGAAAGGACCCGGCAGCAGGTCTTGGTGCTCAACTCACTGCTGAGGACCGTGGGCCCCACAGGGATGAACCTGCCAGGGCACCCAGCAGTCTGGGAGTCTTCCAAAGGCAGCCCTGAGAGGAACTGTCCTGAGGAGACAAGGATGGGCTGGACAGCCACTGCCCACTGCCACCTCTCAGGTCCCCATGCTGGCCCTGTCTCCACGGCTGGCACCCCAGCCTGGGGAGCGGGATCCAGGCAGGACCACGCTGGCTTGCCCAGCACCCATGCACCCCATGGGGCCTGACCCTGGTATGTCCCCTCCATACTTCCCCTCCCTGCAGGGGGCCAAGTTTCAGAGCCCTTATTCCAGCCCAGTAGCACAGAGCACCTGAGCTTCCTCAGTCAGAAGGCACCATGCCTGTGCGCAAGCTCAGTTGCCCATGGCCCACGCAGATGCCCCGACCCATCCCGCTGTCCCCACAGGCAGGCGCACGGAAGGATTGCAGGCACAGCACGGGTGGCCCCACAAATGAGGCTGACGGCATGCGGGCAGTCACAGCGCGAGGGCGGGCAGCATGGGTGGCGGCGGGGGCACCAGGGCCACATATGCAAGGACAGTCCACGGACAGGGTGCAGGACAGGGCAAGGGCAGAGGCCCAGGGCTTGGGAATCCTTCACCAAGCAACAGTGACATCGGGGAGCATGGGGCCTGGAGCGGCCTAACCCACGTGGACTGCCCCGAGGACGGGCCCTGGGCCGCCCGCCACACAGACACGCTCAGCAGCACAGCACACAGGCATCGCGACAGCGGCCGCGGCCCCACGCCGGCAGCCCAGCCTTACCCCTACTGGGCATCAAGAGGCGCTTCTTCATGTTGCCTGGCAGCGCCCGGGCCGGGGGAGAGAGGGAGAAAAGACAGCATCAACAGGCGCCTCAGGGCCCGGGGCCGGCGGGGGGCTCGCGCCTGGCAGAGACCCTGCCCAGTCCGGCACCACACTCACCGTCCACACCGTTGTGCTGCTCATAGCTGCGCTTGCCCAGGATGGTGGGGGAACCGTTGTTGATGACGGGGGCCGACTTGGCGGGCGTCAGGCTGCTCAGCACACCAGACATGCTTTTCACGGGGTCAGGCTTGGGTGGGCGGGGGTGTGTCTCTGCCAGGAAACACCCTGGTGAGTTACCTCCACCAAGTCCTCATATGCACAACTCCTGGGACAACACTGGGCCCGGTCACCCTCCCAGCCCTCACCCGAGTCCCATCCCACTGTGCTGAACAGGGGTGGCCAGGGCAGAGAGGGGAGCCCAGGACCTGCTGCGGTCTGGCTCTGTGTGCCCTCAGCAGGCAGGCGCACCCAGGTTCCTGAGAGTGGGGCAACAGCCTGGTGGGGCTCAGCCCCCAGCTCCGGCCTGCAGGACCAGATGCAGGCCGGTGAGCCAGCCCCTGTGTCCAGGCTCCCAGAGCTGACTCATGAGCCCACCCAGACCTGGCAAACGAATGAGGACCCCCATGAATGCCTGGCCCAGACCAAGCTGCTCTGCTCTAGCCAGGACTTCTCACTGAGGCCCAGGCCCTGGTGAGTTGGCCTGAGCCTGGCATACAGCCGGGTGCCCCACAAGGGCAGCTCCAGATGCCCGTCTGAGGGCTGGGGGGCTTGGCACACCCGCATGCAGAGGTCAGGTCAGAAGTCACTCACAGAGCATTCGGGCAGCCCCGAAACACTCACCAAGATACCGCAGCACAGCTTCCAGGGGCTTGCGGGCCACCTGCTTCAGCACCAACGGACTCTGGGATGCTTCAGGCAGCCGCGCCGTACCTACAGAACCACAGGGCATGAGGCTGAGTACCCTGGGGAACAGGGCCCAGCCTGCACCTGGACCTAGTACTCTCACGGGGCCCAAGAGGAAACGGGGAGCCCAGGGGGTAGAACTCTCACCTGGCTGGGCCTGAGGCTGCCCCCTCCCCTAATGTCAGTAGGACAGAATAAGGGGACTCACACTCTGCCTTGATGGCCGCACTGTTGATGGGCATGTAGGGGTGGCGCGCAGCGTGCCATGGGCGCAGAATCTCCCGGCACAGGCGCCGTGCGATCCTCGTCAGTTTGGTGGTGTGCAGGTAGAAGGCCTGCCGTGTCTTCATGGCAAACTTGGGGCTTCCACTGCTCCGGGCCGGGAGGCCATGGGGACTCTGCGGAAGGGGGCGCACCGCCCCAACACAGCGCCATGACCGGGGGCCGGGCACGCATGGCCGGCCGCGGTGGGCAAGGTGGACACCTCCTGCTTACCATGTTGTTGCGGTTTGGTCCTGGCCTCTCTCCATCTAACCGGGTTGGCATTTTCAAGCCACCGTATTTCTTCCAATATGTCCAACAAGATGCGCAGAGACGACACTGCATGTTAGGGGGACCCCAAGAATACCACTGGTAAGACTGTGTGGCTACGGACAACAAAGTTGGAAATAGACGGATTCTTAAGCAGAACCAGCGATGTCAGAGTACCCACAGCGTCACCCGCCCGCCACGCCCGCCCCCAGGGTACCGCGCGCTCCGAGGCTCACCCCACCACCCCCATGATGATATGACCCCTTTGGCGGTGGACCCCTCCCAGACCGGACCATGCCAGCACCCCGGGACAACACAGGGCTCCACAGCGCCCCGCAGGGCTCCGCGCGCCACACCCGCCTATGCACTTACTGTAACAGCTCTCGCAGGCCCGGCCAGCCCCGGGGCTCTGGCCTGGCGCCCCCGTGCCATTCACCACACCGGCCTTAACGTTGTTGACACTGATCTGGTTCGGATTTGGCTTGTTACTTCAAGAGGCAGAGAAGGGGAAGGGGTCATGGAAACACATGCCAGCAGGGCCTATCTCTGCAGCACATGGAGCCACAGGCTAGCCCCTTATCCAGGCCGACATCCTTGTACCCTTGGCCTCGTGGGGGCCTTTTTCCCCTCTGAGGTTCCAGAAGTAGCTCCCACAGGGCTCGAGGCCCAGGTACATGGGTATGGATCCTGATGGCCTTCACTGACCAGGAGGCCAGGGTAATGGCTGTGTCCACTCATCTGTGTGGCCAGAGCCACCCCACACCTGGCCATCCAGGGCCTTTCCTGCCTCCCAGCCTCCAAGCCAGGACCTCCTCGGAACCCATCTGGTCCTAGCGCCCCCCAGGGAACAACAGGGTGCTGTGGAAATCACACTTACTAGTTGGGAATATACACTTGCTTTAACTTGCTCTCAGCTTCTGCAGCTTTCAAGCGTTTCTTAAAAGAAAACAGAGAGTCAGAGGTCAACCAGGGGGCCCAGGCGGGGGAGATTACCACCATCCACAGACTACATCCCTGGGAAAGACTTTGGTGAAAAGTTATCCTACAATTTTCACAAAACTCAGATGCCCAGTGCGGCAGCTGGGGGGACACAGCCAAGGGGGCTCAGAAGCAACCCTCTCTGCCAGCCCTTGGCAAATGACAGGGAGTGCACGGGTAAGAGGCCCAGGGAAAAAGGGCCGGGGAGAGGTGTGACCTCACCTGCTGGACATATCTGTCAGTGGTCTTCCACATGTAGTAATACTCAATGATGCTGGTGAGTGACTTCCATGGGAGCTGGGGTGACAGAAAGACATGTCACATGGGGCAGAAGCGGGGCTGTGGCCCAGGCAGGCACAAAGACCAGTGGTGGTAGATGGGGGTGCCAAGGAAAGGCCAGAGTGTGCTTGCCATGGTCAAGCCCCCCCTGGCAGGAGGGTACAGAGGGCAGCCAAGAGGCAGGTCCCCCAAACCAGATGCTGAAACGCCACAACCCCAGGGGAGGAGCCGGGCCCAAGGCCAGGTGTCCCGCCACAGGTGGAGCCCACAACCTCACCTGCGTCAGTCACTTCTCAGAGCTGCACTCTTGGTCATAACCCCCAGTGTCTTAAAACTTCTTCTCTGGGTTAAGTAATTTAACTTTATGGCTTCCTTCTTTACAGTCTCTACTCCAACCCTTCATTTTTCTAATTTTTAAACTTTTAAGTTTTTTTGAGTTGGGGGTCTTACACTGTCACCCAGATTGGAGTGCAAGGACACAATCATGGCTTCCTTGACCTCTTGGGCTCAGGTAATCCTCCCGCCTCAGCCTCCAGAGTAGCTAGGACTACAGACATGTGTCACTATGCCTGGCCAACTTTTTGAATTTTTACAGTGACATGGTCTGGCTCTGTTGCCCAGACTGATCTCAAACTCCGGGGCTCAAGCACTGCTCCAACCTCAGCCTCTCCAAGTGCTGGGAAGGAAGCAAGGAGACTCTGCCCCGCAGCCATGCTGCTCTCCTGAGGGTAGCCCACTGGCTCCACGGTGGCTGCAAGGACACTTCTCCCTCAGAAGACTGGGGGGTCCCGTGTGGGCACAGAAGGCACTCCTCCCTCAGAAGATTGGGGGGTCCCCTATGGGCACAGATGCGGGTGCTCCTCCCTCCAAAATCTGGGGGTCCCCTGCCGGCACAGGCTGAGCGCTCCTCCCATGGGAGGCTTTAAGGCTGGGGTCTCCTATGGGCCCAGACCCTACCACAGTGGAATTCCAGAGTGGGGGTGCCAGGAGGTCAGACCCACACGTGAGGACTCTGCTGGCTTCCTGAGCCAACATTTTTTTTTTTTTGAGTCGCGGTCTCACTCTGTCACCCAGGCTGGAGTACAGTGGCATGCTCATGGCCATTGCAGCCCCGAACCACTGGGCTCTGGTGATTCTTCTGCCTCAGCCTTCCAAATAGCTAGAACTACAGTCATGTGCCACCCTGTCCAGCTAATTTTTTGATTTATTGTAGAGACAAGGTCTCGCCATGTGGCCGAGGCTGGTCTCGAACCCGTGGGCTCATGCAATCCTCTCACCTCCGCCTCCCAAAGTGCTGGGATTACAGGCATGAGCCACTGCGCCTGGCCTGAGCCAACACTTAAAGAGGACACGGACACACAGGGAGTGAGTGCTTTGCTTAGCTCAAAACAAAGACAGGTTTGGGGCCACGGGACCAGGGCAGTCGCCGAATCTCCACAGGAACCCCATCCCTACCTTGTCCTGGTCACACTGCAGCTTCCCTCACCCAAGTCCCACTGGCGCCCGCACATGTGTACTCCACAGATGAAGCTGGCCAGAGCTCAGGGTCCTATTACCAAGCCTCAACAAGGCGGGAGGGACTGCGGAGGCTGGGGTCCAGCTATAACTGGGCAGGCTCCCAAAAGAAGCATGGGGCCCACCTGGCTGCACTTGCCCCATGCGGTACTCACAAAGTCTTGCTGAATGTCCGTGAAGTCCTTCCCGTACTTCTCCAGGGCCTCCTCAAAGAGGTTGGCCTCCGACGCAGACCACTCCTCCATCTCGTCCCTGCAGAGCACTGGTCCGCCCTGTGGCACCAGGGCTGAGATGGCCTTGGAAATGTCGTAGACATTCCTGTGCAGCGTGTCCATGGCATGAAACTGTAGGAGGCGGCAGGACAATGAGCAGGCTGCCAGGCCTGGGAGCTCCTCCTGCACTCGAGGTGTGGCTCCTCTCAGTGCCTCAAGGTGATGTCCCTGCTACTCGGCAAGCCCCTCCCCACACCCCACAGCATGGGCTGGCAGAGCGTAGGGAGGACCAGGAGAGGCTAGAGTCCCATGTGTCCAGGTGGGCGCCAGGCCAGGCAGAAGGCAGAAACACGGAGCCACCAGGTGGCCGTCCCCGCCTCAGGTTCCACCCAGCACCCACTCACCAGGGTGATGTCCCGGGAAGCGGCGGCGGCGCTCATGTGCAGGCTGGGCTGTCGGACGGAGCTGCTGCAGTCCAGGGCCCGAGCAAAGGTACCCACGGAGCTGGGGAGGAGGAAATGCGCTGACCGTGGCACAGGACAGGCAGGGGTGGCTCTGTCCAGCATGCTGGTCGGAACCCAGGCGGCGCTCACCACCACCAGAGGTAAGGGCTCGGCTCCTAGATGTCGGTGGACCAAAGAGGCCACAGGCACTGGGCACAAATCCTGTGGGCGTCGCAGGGAGCAGCCGACTGTGGCCCGATGCAGCATATGTCCAGGGGCACAGAAATGGGAAAATACAGCCTGGTGCCAACCTAAGACCTCTGTCTGACGGAACCATGGTCAGTAGCCACCTCAGGGAACCCCGAAACACAACATTCTTAGGATTCTCTCTAAAGCTGTTTGCAGAGAAGGTGGACACAGCCCCTTCTGGCCGAAGCTTCCCTGGGGTGCTTTCGCCCCCAGCAGTCCACCCACCTCCCACAGTTGCCCCATCCCGCTCCACCCTGGGCAGGCCAGAAGTTGAAGAGCACCTCTGCCTAGTCCTAGTCCAGCTCCAAGGAAGAGCCCTGTCAGGGCCTGGGGCCTGGGGGGTGTGAGGGTAGGTGCACAGGCTCAGCTCCCCGAGTTGGAGCTGTTCAAAGGCTACAGCTCCTTGTTCAGGGAAGGGCTGGGCTGGACCCTCCTGAGGCCCTGGGAACTGCTGGGGGTTTCAGGGCAGGGCCCACGGGCTTCAGGCCCTCGATGCCCACTCAAGGGCAGGAGGGCCAGAGCTTCAGACAGGCACTCACCGGGCCACCACCAGGAACTGGTCGATCTGCTTGTCCATGAGTGGATTGTGGGCCTCCCATACCTTGGTCTCCAGCTTGGCCTGATCTCGGCCATCCTCTTCGCCTGCCAAGAAGAGGAATGACCCATGAGATCCCAGTGGCTCCCAGCAAGGCCCTTCCGAGTCAGGGTACCCAGATAATGGGGTCAAGACCCTCCTCCTGGGCCCCAGGAGCTGCTGAGGTTGGGGAAGGGCCGAGAGGGCCCTGGAAGGGAGGCCAGGGCGGGAGGCCAGAGGAAGACTGCAGCACACACACACGTGCCGTCAGGCATGGATGAACTTTCACTTGTGGAAAAGCACCACCCTGGGAGGACCCTGAGGACAAGGTGGCAGGGCCTGCCGCATGCACAGGAGGGGCTCCAGCAGCAGCTATAACCAAAAGAGGGCGGGAAGGCCCGTTTGTAAGTGCCAATCAAGTTTTTTGAGACACTAAAGGTTCACAAGATGTTTTGAGAAACAACAGGTCCGTGGGCCCCTCCCCATTTCCCCAGCAGGGGTCCTGCAGCACCCCAACAGGACACAAGCCATCTCCCAAAGACCTTGGGCTAAGGCCCCTTTCACCCAGGTGAGGCCCCAGTCCCGCCAACCCTCGCATGGCCAGAGGTGGGCTCTGGCATCATGGGGTCCCCGCCTGTCCGGCTGTCTCTGATCTTCTGGGAGCTGAGGAAGAGACTGCTTGACTGGCTGGAATCAGTGAGACCGAGTTTCTGACGAAACCACCTTTTACTCACAAAGATCCCTAGGGGGACCTGTGTTCTGAGTGTGGCTGGCCCTGACTCTCGGGGGAGGACATGGAGAAGGAATCCCACAATCGTTCTTTGTTCAACTCTCCGGCCGAGAGCCACATTCATAATTCAGTGTTGGGTATCAAACTTCATGCTTTGCAAAAGATCCCACCAGCTCCTCTCAGGGCCCTAGGTGGCCGTGCAGCTCCTGACTGAGGCGGGCCAGGCATGGGGTCACCCTCCATAGGACATGCACAGAGGAAGCTCTCAGGGCTGGACACAGCAGATAGTCCCCCAAGAAAACATCTGTCCCTCACCACACAGCACAGGCCTAGGCCCCTGCCCCAAGGGCTGGACATCCTGGGCCATGCGTCCAGGGAAGGTCAGGCCCCATGACCCCCCAGGAAACAGCACCCAGTCAGACTCTGAGGACGGGGTCGGGGGTAGCCCCGGGCAGCAGGTGCACGCAGCAGATAGGGGCAATGCTGCGGGCGCCCTGGAGGTGAAGGGCCCAGGGCTGCTTCCAGCCTGGCTGCAGGATGCTTGCTGGGTTATGCTGGCGCCTGGTGTAGCCTCTGCCCTGCTCAGGGCTGCTCCGGGGAAGCTGGGTCCCAAAACTCAACCGGGCCTAGGGTCTAAGGGCTGAAATGTGATGGGCAGGTGGCTGAGCCCAGAGGTGTCAGTGGCCTGTCTTCTCACTACTGGGCAGCACAGTCGATTCCCTTTGTAAGTTCAAATGCCCTAGAGGCAGGTGTGCAATTTCATGTCATTCAAAAGGGACTTGAACTCTAGGAGATGGGGATGGGGGTTGGTCCCGAAAGCCACACAATCACCCCCACCCCAAATGGCATCCTCGAACCAAGAGGCACAGGGCTGCAGGGATGGTGGCTCCTGCATGGCAGCAATGCTCGGGCACGAGCCCTCAGCTCCAGCCCACTCTCCAGGGTGGGACTTGTATGACAGCAAGGTTTTGAGGCCTCTCGATGTGGTCTCTTGCTGCACACACCACCTGGAGACAGTCTGCCCAGGACTCTAGGCCCCAGATGGTCAGCAGGTCCTCCAACCTCAGCTCCCCCTAGTTCTCTGATCCTCGTGAGTTAAGCTCTCGTGGGCTTCCTGGTCCTAACTGCTGCCACTACCTGCAACCACAGTGGCAACAAGAGCACACCATGGGTGTGGCCCCAAGCACCTGAGGTGGCCAACCTGGAGGTTTCGGCCTTGGCAGCAGGTCCTGCTGAGGCCGAGTGATGTGTCCTCCTCCAGCTCACCACATACTGCAGCTGTGTGTGTGAGCATCACACACGCCCCTCCTGGGACAGTTGGTTACAGTTGAGTTCAGACCAGATAGGGCCACCAGGATCGATGCCCATAACTTTTAGTTACCTTGAGTTCACCTATAGTTCATTATAATACTAAGATACCACCCTAGAGAGAATTCACAGACATTTGTGTACACATGACGTATATGTAAGCACCTTCACACACTGTACCTGTGCTGGAAACACTGCTTCTTCCATGCTCAATGCCCACCTGCCCTCTGCGAGATGCTGTATGACCCTGTGGGCAGCAGCTGCTCCCAGGCCTTCCCTGCACCTAGGTTCCTGAATAAAGCCCACGTCTCGCCCAGAGTCCCCGGGTCCTTTCTGTGGCATCTCAGATAAAGCATCTTCCCTTTGAGGGTCCTTGGGGATCAGCACTATACGAGGTCCTCCACCCTTGGCCAGGCTGGGGGACAGGTGGCGGGCTGCAGAGCAACCTTGAGGCCACGGGCTCAGAGTCTCCCCATGAGCAGGGCACACTGAGAATGGCAGCCACTAGATACAGGCTAGCAATGCCCAGGACCAGCTCGGAAGCCGACAGCCTCGGATGTCCACAGAAGGAGCACAAGGCCACAAAGGGAGGGAGTTGGGCGCTTCGTAGAGCGCGCTTAGGGGAAGATGCATCGGCAGAGAAAGCAAGAGGATGAGACGGAGGATACGGAACACGACATCATAAGAAAAGCGACAAGGAGGGAGGACAGATATGTCAGTGGCTTGGTCTCTCATCCAACATCCCTGTCTAGCTGGAGGCCAAAACAGGAGTGAGAAGAAAACCCAGGTCTGCGGTCTCACATGGGAGGGTGAGTCCCCATGAAGCTCGAGCAGACCCCACGTGGTGGCCAGTGAGGAAGCCCCACACTTGCACGCCCTCAAGTATGAGCCAAGCAAGAGGGGCTGGCCTGGAGCCCTGGCCAGTACTGACCCACGGACCCTGCTGACCACCACGGTCCACAGACGAGACAGATGCTATGTGGCTGGCGGGCAGCCTGGCTCTGGAAGCCAAGGCTCATCACGAGAAGCCACAAGGAGAGGTGGAGGAAGTCGAGGCCCTGCTGACATGTGAATGGAGAGGGATGAGCTCGTCAACAAGAGGACGCAGACCCAAGGCTAGACCTCGGCCATGGGAAATGGGGACCCAGCACAGCAGCTACGAAGCTCCCACTGTCAGAAACTAAACATCCCTCACCTACCCTGTGGAGGTGGCCACAGGGCAACACTGGGTGAGGGAAGGGCCCTGGGATGTGCGGTGTCTAGACCAGGGACATCAAGGGAACATGGCATAGCCGGGGCTGCTGCCAGGTGCCAGCTCATCACCCCAGAGCTCCTTCCATGTACCCACAGCTACTCGGAGGGGCCACAGCCAAGGGCAGACACGTGCCCAGAACCAGTCTGTGTGGCTTGAGGACCCAAATCCAGAACCTAGACTCCGGCCCCATAGCACCCGGACAGTGGCAGTGGCCCTACGCACCTGCCCAGTGACCCTGAACACAGTTGCCCCCAAGACCTGCAGATGTACCAGCATCTTCCACACCAGAAAGAGACGCACGAAGCTCCCTGGCCCAGAGGAGACACCGTGTGGGCGGAAAGGAGGCAGCAAGAAAAACGCTCCCCCTTGAAGGCTGAAACCAGATGCCCCCCGCCCATGCCCATGCGGAGCTGCCAGTGTGCCTGCACTGCTGAGAAGGAGAGAAGTAAGTCCAGCATGTCCTGTGGGGCTTGCTGAGATCAGTGGAGGGTGGGAGACTGCCTCCTGTTCTGGGTCAGAGCCCAGGGCCACATCCCTGGGCCCTGGCAGGACCCAAGGGGGATACCCACAGGCCAGGCTCAGAGTGCCCACGGAGTCACTCAGACAGGAGTTTCGGAGACAAAGCTTTAACGAATATTGACAACAGCCATCAAAGGAAACCAAATCTCAGAGCACCGGCACCAGCCAAGGGACACGCCCTGCCTGAGGCTCTGGGGCCTCCCCAGGACCCCGAGGCCCCCATGAGGGAGGGGAGGGAGGGTCTAGGGATGGGTGATGACGCAGAGGCGCCAGCCTGCAGAGACACAGCCCCACCCCAGGCTCAGCCGCAGACACCTCATTCCCACAGGCAGGGCAGAGGGAAGGGGCTGCGCTGCACCACGTCCCTACCTTCTTTCAACAGGTCGGTGATGTCAGCCTGGTAGCGGTTTCCCACCCGGATCTCTCCTTTATCGGCCAGGAGCGTTTTCTGCTGTGGGTCGTAGACAAGCGAGTAGAAGAAGAAGTCCTAGAAGACACATGGACTACGTGTCAGCAGTGCCAAGGGACCTTGGCGCCAGGTCGGGACACAGGACACAGAAGCTCCCACGCTCCCACACAGCCGGGCCTGCCCACAACACTAGTGGGCAGTGGGTAAGAGAAGACACAAGCACCAAGAAGCAGACAGGTCCTGCACAGACTCCACCAAGGGAGAGCCGCTTAAAAGCTCGACAGGGACCTATGGCTAGGGTTTGTGGGATATGATGGCTTCCACAATCCACCCACCTCGACCTCCCCACAAGTCCTGGGATTACAGCCCGCCCAGCATTTTGTGTCCCAACATGTAGTTATGTGCCCTGGAAGCTGCAAGGAGCTGGCTTTGATGATTCTTTTTTTTTTTTTCCTGAGTTGGAGTCTCACTCTGTCGCCCAGACTGGAGGGCAGTGGCCGCTCCCGGCCAGTGCAGCCTCGACCTGCTGGGCTCCGGCGATCCTTCCGCCTCAGCCTTCCCAGTAGCTGGAACCGCAGGCATGAGTCACCACGCTCAGCTCATTTTTTGATTTATTGCAGAGATGAGGTCTCGCCAAGTTGTCCAGGCTGGTCTCAGGGAACCCTCTCGCCTCAGCCTCACCAAGTGTGGGATTACCGGCTTGAGCCACTACACCCAATGACAATTCTTAAAAAACAGGCTGCCCTGCCTGGTCCTGGAGTCCTGCCTGTGTTCTCTGTGCCTGGGGATCCATCACCTGCCCCTTCCTGGGTGTCCTCCCTGACTCCTTGGGTTGTTCTTCCAACCCGCATCCCATCTCCCATCGACTACTCTAAAACTACCTCCTCCTGTCTTTCCTCAGACGGCAACCTTCAGAACACGAGCACAACACGCACTCCCCACATGGACAGGGCCAACTGAGGGGCCCTCACCCTCCTGATGAAGGGCAAAGCTGCCCTGGGGGTGCTACCCCTGTGGCTCCTGCTCCATCTGGTCCATTTTCCAAGCTGCTTCTTCATGTCCAGACCCTGCCACTACAACATGTAGGGACATATGAACCTTCAAGTTGTGACCTTTAAAGATATGAGCGTGCACTTGCTTGTCTAATTGCTTAAATTCATTCACGTGTCTAACTTTGCTACTATACTTTTCAAGATACTGTACTTTAAGATTAAAAATGTTTTGTTTTTGTTTTTTTAGCCGGGCTCGGTGGCTCAGCCTGTAATCCCGTGCCTTTGGGAGGCTGAGGTGAGTGGATTGCCTGAGCCCGCGGGTTCGAGACCCGCCTGGGCAGCGAGACCTCACCTCTACAATAAATCAAAAAATCAGCCAGGCGTGGTAGCGCATGCCTATAATTCCGGCTGCTGGGAAGGCTGAGGCGGAAGGATCGCCAGAGTCCAGCAGGTCGAGGCTGCGGTGGCCAGGAGTAGCCACTGTACTCCAGTCTGGGTGACAGAGTGAGACTCCAACACACACAAAAAAAAATTTTTTTTTTTTGCTTTTTATGTATTTGTGAAAAGCATTATAAACCTATTACAGTACGGTACTATACAGCTGGTTGTGTTAGCTGGGTACCGAGGCTAACTTTGTTAGACTTAAGAACACACTTTTGGAACAGAACTTGTTCACATGTAGGAGACTTACTGTATTTCTTCAAATTAGTAAGAAAAAGGAGTTTCTTTTTCTTGAGTTGAGGTCTCAGCCCAGGATGCTGGAGGGTAGTGGCATGATCACGGCTCACCATAGCCTCAACCTCCTGGGCTCAGGTGATCCTCCCACATCAGCCTCTAGAGTAGCTGGGACTACAGGCGTGTGCCACCACACCTGGCTAATTTTCTAATTTTTTGTAGAAATGAGGTCTTGCTATGGTGTCCTAGGCTCAAGCAAACCTCCTGACTCAGCCTCCCAAAGAGTTAGGATTACAGGTGTGAGCCACCATGCCCACCCTGAGTCTGTGTTTACTGGAACCTCATTGGTGAGGATTATTCCAGGCCCAGGCAGGGGCCTGGCCCCGAGGGCCAATGGCATCTACTTCTGCCAGCTCCTTAAATGTGCTCAGACTTTGGGTAGGACACATGGGGAACGGCGGCCCCGTTCAGCAGATGGGCTTCAGGGCCACAGCCAAGTTGGCAGTCAGTGTCATCCATCACCTAAGAATCACACAGTTCCACTTCCTGCACAGGTGTGTGAAGGCAGCTGCCAAGGCGTGCCCCGTCACCACCTGCAGGCCAGTGCCGCCATTCCTGGCACGACGGGCTTCTCAGCCGGTTTTGGTGCTGACACACGTGTCCGTGTTCATGACGCGTCTTCTGCAGTCCCCCTCGCCTCACTCTGCCACTCAGGGTCTTTCCAAACCACAATGGCACCCTGCACTCCCCAGACACATTCCCAGCAGCGCCCACAGCCTCTGTTCCCCACACTCGGGGGCTTCTGGGCTCTAGCTCCAGCCTCCCGGGAAGCTGGTCCCACCACAGCCCTGCCCCTCCCCGTATGCCAGGCATGAGTTCCCTCCAGCCCCTGCCCAGACCACACTGTCCCACGCAGCCCACCTGAAGCGCCATGGCCCCTTCATACCATCTGCTTCTAGGCTGTGAACAGGAAAGGGGCCCAGGCCAGACAAGGTGAGGAGTGTGGGGTTGAGTTCCAGACATGCTGCGGACGTTCTAGATCCCGCAGGGCCAGTCCCAAAGTGCCGATGGCCACGGTGTAGAGAGGGCCCAAGGGCACCCTGGGGACGGGCACCCTGAGCCTGGGCTGAGTGACACGATGGAGGTGGGGGAGTGGTCCAGGCCGCAAGGCTCCACTGGGTGGCAGTAGAGACATGGGCGAGGCTAAGTTGCCACTGGGAGTCACATGGCCCCTGCCTGACCCTGGTCCCTGCATAGCCCCGGCCTGGAGCCACACGGTCCCTGCCCAAACCCGGCCAGTCTGATGCTCAGATCCAATAAGGCCTCAGGACATCTGAGCTTCCCACTGGCCGTTTCTCACAAACCCTTGCTGTCACTCAGAGTGACTGCGCCTCGGTGACATATGGCACTATGTCTGGAGACATTTCTGGTTGCCACAACTCGGGGGTAGTAGCATCCGGGGGTGATGCCCTACCACGCACAGGCAGCCTGCAAATAAGAATCACCTGCCCCAGATGGCTGCAGTGCTCAGGTCATGCAAGCAGCCCTGAGGTCACCCTGGGTAGAGGAGGTGGCCCACCCAGGCCTCTGCCCATGGCTCCTGGAGGCAGCCACGCCTCCTGCAAGGATCCAGGCCAGGTGGTCCCTGCTCCAGCTGTGAATCCTGGCAGGGAAGGTAGGAGTGCTTCTATCCCCGAGGAGGCAGAGCTCCCATACTGGTTGCTGGAGGGATGTGGGCCCCAGGGCAGGTGGTGGAAGCACGAAGGGGGCAAGCCCCACACTCAGGGCCCTGGCTGCATGGGGTGGGGGGCAGTGGACACAAAGACACCTGGATGTGACCCTCAGGATGCAGTCTCCACTTCCTCACAGGACGGCCAGGGCCGAGTGAGACAGGAAGCGTCCCTGCTCCTGGCCAGCAGAGGTTACAGTGGTGGGATGGGACCCCCCAGCCAGCCACAGCAATGGGAGCCAAGCTCACCTCCCGCTCCAGGTAGGACTTGAGCGACTCGGTCTCGTTGAGCAGGGTGACACTGCACTTGCCCCTGGAAGAGAAGATGAGCGGGTAGAGGGGCGAAGGCGGTTGGTGGGGTCCTGGCGGGGGGTGTCGCAGCCCTACCTGATATGTGTGGCGGGCAGGGACTCCAGCTGCCGAGAGAGGAACAGTTCCCGGTGCCGCAGCTGGTGCCTGAGCTTCTCGGGCAGGTCCACCATCTCTGGGTTCTCCATCTCCTCCTCGATCTCCCCTGCAGGAGAGAAGCCCTGTCAGCACGCTGCACAGAGCACCAGGTGAGGCCCCTGGTTCACTGCACCCCACCCCATCCACCCACTGTGCAGGGCTCCTGGCACCGCAGCACGGGAGGCCGTCCAGGCCCTGGCCCTCCTGCTGCCAGACCCCATCCTGCTGCCCCAGCCTGCGGTAGCCAAGTGACTCCTTGGCCAGTGCCCTCAAGATGCTCCGGCACCCACTCAAGCCCAAGCACCTTGAAGGCCCAGACCCCCCAGGGTGTCAGGACATAAGAGGAAGCAGGACAATTCTCCCCAAGCCTCAGAGCAGCAGGCAAGAAAAGGAGCCTGCCGTAGCACATGCCCAGTATGGGGCAGCTGAGATGCCTGTCCACCAGGCCATGCCCCAGCTGCAGCCACACGACCCACGCAGCCCGCTGCAAACCCCCCTGTGCCAGGAGGACACCCTTAGGGTAGGCCGGGGACATGGCATGCAGGCGGCCTGCCAGACTCTGCCCTCAGCAGTGTTGCCACCCAGCCTAGGGACACGCCACAAGGACCCTCCCCACGGAGGCTGGCTCTTACCTTCCTCGCCGTTGTCGGCCCCCGGTCCGGCTTTATAGCAGACTGACAGGGCTATATAACAGACAGACAGTGCCCAGACACCAGGGTTAGCCAGCGCCCACAGCTTCTCCCTGCCCAGGGCCCAGACCAAGGGCTGCGTGATTAGAGTGGGGCAAACATGGGGGCCATAGGCCCCCTGGCAGGGCTGAGACCACCCAGGTCTCAATGTCCCACCAGGGTCACCAACCCAGCAGGTGCCCGAGCCCTGGGCAGGACCGAAACAAGCCCAGCTGCTGAGGCCCCAACCTGCACAGCTCCCACTCCCCCAGACCACCCCTGCCCCCACCCAGGCCAGGAGAGGACCCTGCTCAGAGACAACCAGGGGCGTCATCTGGCAGAAAGGGCCAGTGGTGTGGGGTTTCCTACCCCAGGGCTTCTGTTGGCCAGGAAGAGCCCAAGCCCTCTGCATGCCACTGCCCCTACCCTGAGATCAAGAACAAAACCCTTGGCTCACCCCAGACCCCAAAATGGGGTGCGAAGTGGTGCTCCCACTGCCCCCAACGCATGCCAAGCGCCAGCTGCCATGGGAGGCTCCAGGCCACTCATCCCTCCAGACCCCAGACCCCACCAGCCCATCAGGCCGCTTGCTCTCTGCTGCCTCCCAGTGGTGACTTCGGGAAGTTCGGGGACCCTGGGCCAGGTGCAGCAGGGGAGGGATCCCAGGGCCCTGTCCAGGCCCAGGGGCCCACATCTGCCCTGAGGAGCCCCCTGGACTCTCCACTCAGGCTGGGCCAGGGTCAACCAGGGCAGCCCTGTCCCGGCAGTGCAGCCCCACACCCTGGGACTAGGTGAACACCACACCCCAAGCTCGGAGACATCACAGGGTCCAGACCCCACCATCAGGCCCAGCTGAAAGCTAGCTGGTGATCACTTCTCCCTGTGCCCAGCAACACAACCAGAGACCAGTCCAGGCCTGTCAGAGCACGAGCCTTGGGGCCCTGAGCAGCCCCCATCTTGGACAGAACCTACAGGGGCTCTGGGAGCCCCCCACTGGCCAGCACCCTAACAAGCAGCAGCAGGAGGGGCCCGAGGATGGGGCTCCAGGCACAGCCTGTCACAGTCATGGCTCCAGCCTCAGGGTCACCAGGCTCTGGTCAGAAGGCACTTTAGTTCCTTAGAAAGCTCTTCAACAGGGCAGGGATGGCGGGCAGCAAGTGGAGCTGGCCAGCACAACCCCCCCCTTGAGTCTGGGTGGCCCGAGTGGGATGCCCAGTGACCACCCAGGCTATTCCCTACCCCCCCACCAGGATCCTCCTCCCCACCCCCAGCTGAGCTCTCCCGAGCCCCACACCGTGCTCTAGAGGATTCTGAGGAAGGACACTAACCTCTGCCCTACCACCCTGTCCTGGCAAGAGTCCCAGACCCAAAGAATGGCCGAGCTGGTTTCTCTGCCCCAGGGGCTAAATGGGGGTGGTAACCTGCGGGGTCACAGACCTCCCCGAGGGCCCCCACACCTGCCCCGATGTGGGGCCCTGGAATCAACAAGAGACATGTGATGGAGAGACGGTCTGCAGGACCCATCAAGAGCAACCCCCGTGGGATGGAATGGGTGGGACGGGGGCCCAGATTGTTCCAAGTCCCTGAAAGGGCAGCAGACTGGCTGCCACATAGGCACCCATGGCCAACCCTGAGCCCACAGAAGCACAACCCAGGGGCCTGTGTACAGGTTGGATACCAGCGTTGGCCTTGTCCCGCCAGCCCCAAGGCTTTTCTGGAAAACCTGCTGCCCAACACCTCCAATCACAGAACCATGGTGTGCTAGGAGTTCCCTACTAGGCCCTCCTGATGGCAGTACCTGGGTCCGTGGGGCCATGGCTCCCTTAAGCCACTGGCCTAGGCCTTCTGAAGTGTGGGACACAGTACCCCCAGGCCCAGGGGACCCTGCTGGGTACCGAGGAAGGGTTCCAGTCATCAGGCAGGGCAGTGGGAGACAAGGCTTCCTTCCAAAGTGTGCACCTTGCCCCTGACTCCCAGCCAAGCCTCACTGACAGTGCACCAGGAGCCTGCCAAGTGGATGAGAGGCACTCTCCCACCCTGATGACCTTGAGGGAGGGGAGGTCACCTGGGCTGGCCATGCTGCTCAAGCGCTGCGGTGGACCCCTCACGAGGAGCTGGGGCTGTGGGTGTCCACAAGCAGGGCCTTGCTGCCCCACCCAGTGACATGAGCAGACTGGGGACAATAAGAAGGCGACCCCGGCCAGCCCAGGCTCCAGACCAGGGGCTGCCATGTGCCTCACCTTCTGGGAACACCCCAGAGACCACAGCCCCCTGCCTGGCTCAGGGCCCATCCAGTGATCAGTCAGGAGCAACAGACAGGAACCTCCCCTGCACCTGCCTCCCCCAGGCCTCCCGCCCCTCGTGAGCATGGCTGATAGGGCATGTGGGGCCCGTGTGGTCGGTGCTGTCATCCGTGCCAGCAGTCTTTCCCCGGCTCAGGCAGTCCTGGCCTTGAGACATACCCCAAGTGCACAAGACCCACCAGGAGAGAGGCTGGACTCCGGCGAGGATGAGGCCATGGTCCACGAGTCTCAGTGACCCCTGATTCTCACACCAGTGGGTCACAAGAGCCCCTCCAACTAGACTCAGGTTGGAATTGTAAAGAACAGGGAGAGGAGACTTGTCTCCCAAAGACACTACTCAGAATGCCAAAAGGAACCTCTCGGAAGCATGCGAACAAGCAAGGCAGGAGAGTACAGCCTGGGGCGCGGCCCCTCAGGCCCCAAGCCCTGCCAGCCCCCCAGGCCCTCACCCCTGCTGGCCAAATCAGGCCCTATGATCAGAAGAGTCTCAAAAGCAGTCACAAGAGACAGGAAGCCCTCCCATGACGCCAGCGACACCTAGCCACACCCTACAACATGATCCCACAGGGAGACGGTAAAAACAGAACTGGGGGGGACTGGCAAGGACATGGGGGTTTCATCCCCAGCCTGCAAGGACACTAAGTCAGAGTCCCGCACCTGGCAACCTGCACACAGGCCCTGGCAGGGACATGCGCCCAGTACAGGAGACAGCAGGGAACAAAGGGCATGGGTGGAGGGCACCCCGGCGAAGCTAGGACCCTGGAGCCCTGGGAGGGAAGCCCGCCCCGCCCCACCATCCCGCCTGGGCAGGCTGGACTCACTGGCGTGCTTGTCAGCCAGAGCAATGAGGGTGCTGGAGATGTCACGCCTGCGGTAGAAGCACACCACCTTGGCCTCCACGTTCCCGTTGGCCGTCTGTAACAGAAGCAGAGGTACATGAGACACCATCATGCCAGGTGCGCGGCCTGTCCATTCCACCCCGCCTCAACTCGGGCGCAGCTGTGCCACCCCTGGGGACCTCAGGAACAGTGCTTTACAGAGGGAGCAAATCGTGTGTGTGGAAGTCCATGGGTGCCAGGAACAGTCACACACAACCTCTCCGAGGTTGGGCTGGCCGAGACCCTGGGGGAGGCAGCCCTGGCCTCATCCTACATCTGGAGCCCCACTTCCCTGAACTCGCCAGTGAGCGCCTGACAACAGCAGGGGTCCCAACAGGAAAAGGCCCACCAGGCCAGACAGGACCCCAGGAACTCAGCACCCATTCTCACAACTGGGCAGTGCCCAACCTGGGCCCTGTAATCCCCCCAGGCCCTGCCTGTCCCCAGAGAGTCCTCAGGGACAGCAGTGACCAGAGTTCCATCAAATCCTGCCCTGCCCCAACCCAGCCCTCCTTCCAGCTGGCACCATGGTGGGCACATCAGGAGGGCCCCCTGCGCCTCCACCCCTTCTGGAAGCCACGTAGACAGTTGGCGGTGCAGATCCTGGAGCCACAGCCCTGTGTACTCCAACTGCGACTTTGCAAGGCAGAGTCGTGGGATGGAGTGAGATACTGCCCCAGGGGCTCACAGGAGTCCAGGGGATCTTCATATCCAAGGACATGCTGTGACTCCAGCCCCCAGGGCTGCTCCGCATCTCACCACGTGTCACACACAGCAAAACGGTCTTGGAGAAACATGGGAGTGGGCATCCTCATGGGTGGAGTCGCCTGCATGGGCTGGGCTGTGTGCCCCTTCTGTGTCACTCGGTCACGTGATCCACTGTCCCTTCACGTCCCTGTGGAGCCAGGTGACTGTGCCACGATCCAACTCAGTCACATGTTCCTCTGTCCACCGATGTCCATGTGGGCCGATATGGCCATGCCACAGTTCCATTCAGTCAGAGTTCCACCACCCATTCACATCCATGTGGATGCGGACAGCCATGCCATGGTCCCATTAGGTCACACACTCCAGTGTCCATTCATGTCCAAGTGCACCCGGGCAGCTGTGCCACAGTCCCACTTGGTCACATATTGTGTTGTCCATTCACATGCAAGTGAACCCAGGTGGCCGTGCAAAGGTTGCAACTGGTCGTGTATTCCACCATCTGTTCACGTCCCTGTGCTCCCTGGCAGCCATGCCACAGTACCATTTGGTCATGTGTTCTACTGCCCACTCACATCGGTGTGGACCCAACTGGCCATGTGATGGTGCCACTTGGTCACATGTTCTGCTGTCCATTCATGTCCATGTGGACTCAGGTGGCCATGCCAGTCCCATCCGATCACGTATTCCATCGCCCATGGGCACCCAAGCGGCCATGCCACAGTCCCACTTGGTCACATGTTCTGTCCATTCATGCTTGTGTGGACCTGTGTAGCCGTGTAACAGTCCCACTCGGTCACGTGCTCTGCTGACCAGTCACGTTTGGTGAACCTGGGCAGCCATGCCACGGTCCCGTTCGGTCATGTGTTCCATCATCCGTTCACATCTGCGTGGACCCAAGCGGCTGTGCCACAGTCCCATTCAGTCACATGTCCCACTCTGGGGACACAGCAAGCGATGAAGCCAGCTCCAGGGGCCTCCATGGGGACTGTGCACATCCTTAGAGCTTTGCAGCGGCACATCTTGAGGAAGGACCAGGCAGGTGGAAAAACGGAAATGCCCATTACCCTCAGGATGCAAGGTCAGCCGGGGAGCAGAGGGGGAATGCCATGTGGCAGGTGTGGCAGCTCCACCATCTGGGCTCACACCTGATCACCGGCCCAGATGTGAAAACGGCTGCAAGCAGGACTCAGAAGGGACTTCCTGTGCTGGGAGGTCGTGCCTCTTGGGCCATCCTCTCCGTAAGGTCTTGCTTCCCGTGATTCCTTCTGGTGGGTGCTGGACCCTAGCCTGTTTCCAATCGTCTGGTTTTCTTCCCTCCTGGTCTTCCCATCCCTGGGGCATCCTCAGTTTTATCACAAACCTCCAATTCTACTTTTTACTTCTGACCCTGGGCATTCTTGCGAGCGAGCGAGCTCCCTGACCACATCTCAGCTGCATCTCCTTCTTGGGGACGTCAGCAGGTCCGGCTTTGCTTCTCGCCATCATCAGTTCCCTGCTTCAGCTCCTGTCCCCATCCCGTCTGCTGCGTGTCGACCCATCCTTGAGGCAGGAGCCTCCTGGACATCTCAACTCGGTGGCACTCACGGCCTCACTGCCGGTGGTAAGTGGGACTGGCATCCTGCTAGGCAGTACACAGCAGCTGTGTTCTGACACCAGGAGTGCCACCATCCTAGACTTTGGCCGTGATCATATAGTGGTTAGAACTCGGCATTGTGGAAGCCTCGCTGCTGGGGTCCTGGGAGCTGAGGACACAAGGACTGGGGGTGCCTGTCGGGGAGAGCCCAGGAACCAAGGGATGTATCCACGTCAGTCCCCACAGAAGCTGTGCTCACTGGGCTGATCCCCAAGTCTGCTGCTCCAGTCCGGAGTGGGCTTCCTCCCACCCACAGCCACACAGAGCTGCTTAGCTCAACACTGAGTCTGTCTGTGTCTCTACGTGCCCTTCCCTTCCGCCGATCTGCTCCCACCTCCCTCATCCTTGGGTGCAGCCCTGGCTCTTCCTGGCTCTTCCTGCTATTTGAGGGTGTTGAGGTCAGAGGACGGTCAGGACGGGGATGCCTCCGGGGCTCCCACTGCTGTGGGTACCCCATCGCGGGGTCCTGCAGCTCTCATGGGCAGTGTCTGGCACTGTGATAGGTCAGCCAGGGCCTCTGGCACTCTGCCACCCCGACCTGATAGCCACTCATGGGTATGTCATGACCACGACAGGCACGGGTAGCCAAGTGGCCCCAGGCAGGGGCTCACACAGGAGTCAGCACCATCTGCATTCAGCCTTGAAGGAAGAGACCACCATGACACAGACCAACACTGTATCCCAAGTTGCGCATGGGGAGGAGAAGCAGGTCTGGGCCCAACAGCCCTCCACGGGTCGCCCTCATGGCACTCAGCCAGGCCAGCCCTCAAGGCACCCATGCCCGCCACCAGCGGGGGGGGGAGGGGGGGCAGCAGTGCCACCTGCTGGCTGCAGCTCCACTGTAGAGACCCACGGGGCGCACAGCAGACACCTCTCCCTCTGGCCATACCACCTGCCAGTGGAGGAACCTCTCTCTGTACTTCAGTTTCCTCACAGCCCAAGTCTGTGCTACTGGGATGTGTGAACAGATGGCTGCTGTCTGCCACCCTCCGACCCCTCTGACCCCAAGGCTGAGGTCCCAGAAAGCAGCTTCTCATGGCTAGCTTGAGCTCAGGGAGGCACACCAAGGTCACCCCACGCCTGCACTAACAACCACAAGGCTCCCAAGGAGGAGGCTGCTCCAGAGGAGGGGAGGAAGCAGCCACGGGGCTGCGGGCTCCAGACGCATGGGAAGGCTTGGGGGTCTGTGAAGGGACCAGGCTCTGCCGGGGCCCCTATCTACAGTGGGCAGGGGGACCTGCCTGCACCCCAAGGTCCTTGGGAAAGTCTCCAACCCGGAGATCACAGAAGGAGCAGGGAATGAGTGGTCAATCTCAGAGGGGCAGAGGCCATGTGATGATGGGAGTCCTTGTCCCCTATCAGGAGGCACCGTGGCAACGTCCCCTCTCCATGTCGGTCACTTGCTCTTGATGATGATCCTTATCTCCTACCCTGCTAGGAGGCCTCCTAGCGAGGGAGGGAAAAATGCAGGGCACCCAGCCCACCTGCTTCCTGTGCTGAAGACAGAGCCGAGCAGGGCGGAGGGGCACGGAAGAGCCGGGGAGAGGCCCCTGTGTCTGAGCTCCCCTGGGTGGGTTCTTGGTGCTCTAGGCCTCAGTGCATGGGCACCACCACAGCGCCAACCAATCGCCAATGACTCTCAGCAGTTGCAGCACAAACTGGGAGGAGGGCAGCCCCATTCATGCAGAGACCACGTGCCCTGTGGGGCTGTAGGGCAAAGCAGACAGCCCAGCAGGTCCAGCCACCAGGAGCCACCTGGGGCCACCAAGAGTCTGGCAGGGTCCATGAGACTGGGGGGACAGTCACACTCGGGGTACTAAGTGCTGCTTCTTTCTGCCTTTGGTTGGTCTCAGAATCATTCAGTTCTGTTTGGGTTCCCGAGGGCACAGTGGTCCCAACAGACCCAGCATCCATGGGCCAAACACGCAGTCAGGTCACGAGGGCTCCCTTGGTCTCTCAAAGGAGACCCCGATCGAGGTAAGTGACAAGTGCATGGAGTCACTCAAGGCCCAAGCAGACAGTGGCTGCCTTGAGGTCCACCCCCAAAGCCCCAGCGTGCCATCCACTCTGGGCCCGGGGTGGGTGAGGGCATTGTTTCATCCGACATACTCTCCCTGGGTCGATCAGGAGAGGACAGGCAGCCTGCTACCCACAGCCCCGAGAGAGCAGGTGGTGGCTCCGCCTCCTCCCCTCTCTCACATGGGGTGGGCTCCACTCCCTCCCCAGCGCTAGCGAGCCTCGCACTACCTTGTTGAGCTCTTCAATTCTTCGGATCAGGTATGGGTTGCTGGAGGAGTTCTCGAAGTAGACGTAGTCTGCAAACAGGGACAGAGAGAGTGTCACCCCTGGCCCCAGACAGAGGCCAGGTTTACCTCCTACCACCAGAGGGTTGGAGGAGCCAGACCCTATTCGCTCCCGGGGGAACAGAAGGAGGAGAAGGCCCCGCACCATCAGGAAAGGGCAGCCGGAAACAAGCCCACGGGCAGAGGCTGGGTGAGGCCAGGAGATAGCAGGAAGGGCTGTGTGGGACCACAGCCCCCACCGTATCTTGAGCTGGCTCCCCTGGAGCCTGGACCCTCTGGGGGAGGCCTTGGGGACCCAGCAGCAGCTTCCCAACAACGCCGAGCCCCAGAGCTGCCCAGGCTCCACTGGGAGCCCCAGGACACCTTCCCATGTGGCTGCCAGCTAGATGCGGCCCAAACCATGAGGCACCACTGCCCCGGCCCCAGGTACATGCCCACAGGATCCCACCTCTCCCTCCAAAACAGCAGCAGCGACTACGCAAATGCAGGCCAGGGCTTTGCAGCAGGCTGCTTTAAGAAGTACAGGGCCACCTGTCAGAGCTCAAGGACAACAACGGGTACACGAGCCTAGAAGTGTGCTCCCAAAGTGCCCCGAGACCCATTATCCTGATCAGGCGAATGCAGCAGCACTTCCCTTCGTGACAAGACCATGAAGCTCTCTGGCCTCCTCTCCCTCCACAGACAGCAAGATCAAGCCCTGGAGGGAGGCCAGGCCTCCAGAGCAGTCGTCCTCAGGAAACTTTGTAGTGAGCACCCCATCCTTGCCAGCCCTTGTGGGGCACTGGGCAGGAGGCTAGGAGCGACCACACGGGCGGGGACCTGGGGTACATGTTCCCACTGCAGGTATCTGCCACGATTCACAGGACTGTGCACTTATTAGAAGTGAGTCGTACCAAGTGCAGACCATGTTTTAACATACGGGTAGGCAGGGCAACACAGCAGAAGGGAGATGAGCAAGAACCAAGGTGAGAGAAGAAAAATAAGCAGGGGGAAAAAATCATAGGAATCAAAAGCTGGTTACTAAAGGATTACTTACTGGACAAATCTACAGTCCAACCGAGAAAGAAAAAAGAAGCCACAAGTAACCAACATCAGGACAGAGGGAACGTTGCTAGGAGACCTCCTGACAGGGTAGGGGATAAGGATCATCATCAGCCGGGCTCGGTGGCTCAGCCTGTAATCCCAGCACTTTGGGAGGCTAAGGTGAGTGGATTGCCTGAGCCCGCGGGTTCGAGACCCGCCTGGGCAATTTGGTGAGACCTCATCTCTACAATAAATCAAAATGAGCCGGGCGTGGTAGCGCAAGCTTGTAGTTCCAGCTACTTGGAAGGTTGAGGCGGAAGGATCGCCGGAGCCCAGCAGGTCGAGGCTGCGGTGGCCAGGAGCGGCCACTGTACTCCAGTCTGGGCGACGGAGTGAGACTCCAACTCAAAAAAAAAAAAAAAAAAAAAGGATCATCATTAAGAGCAAGTGACTGACATCAGGATGGAGAGGGGACATCACCACGGTGCCTCCTGACATGAGGGACAAGGACCCCCATCATGAATAAGTGACCAATGTTGGGACAGAGAGGGTAAAGGGGATGTCATTATGGGGCCTCCTGATGCACGGGGGGGGGCTTTGAGGGTGGTTACAACCATTATCCTGAACAAGTGACTAACATCAGGATAGAGGGGACATCGCTACGCAGGCTCCTGATGTTGGAGGGGGAAGATTAGGACCATATGAACAGCCTTACACCAACGAATCTAATAACTGATGAAAACAGACCATTATTTGAAAGATATAAACTACCAAAGCTCACTCAAGAACAGGTTGAGGCGAGGGGATTGCCTGAGTACAGGGGTTCAAGACTAGCCCAGGTAGCTCGGTGAGACCTCATCTCTACAACAATTAGCCAAGAGTGGTGGCACGCACCTATAGTTCCAGCTACTTAGAAGGCTGAGGCGGAAGGATCACCTGAGCCCAGCAGGTTGAGGCTGCGGTGGCCGAGTGTGCCACTGCACTCCAGCCTTGGTGACAAAGACTCCCACTCAAAAAAATAAATAAATGAAAAAGAAACTAAGCATACTATGTCATTTTCAGCATATAGAACTTTGCACAGATCTTTTGATCTTTAAGGTCTGTAGGTATTTTGCAAAATTTATACTAAAGTATTTGATTTTTCTTGGGGCTGTTGTAAATGGTACTTTTAAAATTTCAATCTCTGGGTATTTGTTAGTAGTACATAGAAATGTGACTGATTTTGGCTGGGCGCAGTGACTCAAGTCTATAATCCCAACACTTTGGGAGGCTGAGGTGAGAGGATTGCCTGAGCCCGCAGGTTCAAAACCAGCCTGGGAAACATGGTGAGACCTTGTCTCTACAATAAATCAAAAAATTAGCTGGGCGTGGTAGACCACGCTTGTAGTCCTGACTACTTGGAAGGATCGCCCGAGTCCAGCAAGTCGAGGCTGCGGTGGCCATGAGCATGCCTCTGCCCTCCAGCCTGGGTGACAGAGTGAGACTCCAACTCAAAAAAAAAAAAAAAAAAAGAAATGTGTCTGATTTTAATATATTGATGTTTTGTGTCCTGTGAGCTTACTAAACCCTCACTCATTAGTTTTAACAGCTTTTTTGAAGATTGAATTTCTGTGTAGTCATGTCATCTGCATGTAGAAAGTTTTATTTCATCTCTTCTGATTGGTATTATCTTTTTCTTCTCGCTGCACTGACTAGAACCTGGCCAGTAGTGGGGACAGCAGATGTCCTCACCAGGTTCCTGATCACTGTTAAGTGTGATGTTCGCTGTAGGTTTTCATAAATGTCTTTTATCGAGCTGAGGAAATACCTGTGGGTTCCTGGTTTCCTTAGTTTTTAGCCAGAATATGTGCTGGGTTTTTTAAGGTTATTTTCTTACATCTATCAAGATGGTTGTTTGGTTTCTCTTCATCCCGCCCTTGTGACGAACTATATTGACTGATTTTTGGAAGTTGAACAAACCTTACGTGAAGGAGGACCCCCCCAAAAACCCAGGAATTATCTTTTGGAGGGTGGGCCTCTTGTAGTATAGGCTTCCCCTGCCAGGCAAGTGTTCTAGGAACCCAGCTAGCATTGTTTTGAGAGACTTCGGTGATTTTTTTTTTTTTTTTGAGATTTTTTAAACTCGTTTGCCCATTACACGATGGGTGATTTACATGAACAACCTGCCCACACGGTGCTGAGTGTTCAGCAGTTTTTGGCCCAAATTGGCACGGCTCTCGGGCCCCATCCTCCCTATCCACCTGATCTTGCCCTGAGCAACTTTTTTTTTGTTTCCCTGAACGAAAGAAATCCTCAAAGAGAAGCGTTTTGCCCATGGAAAAGGTGAAATAAGAAACGGCAGTAGCACTGGCACACACACACACACCCACACATACACCCATTTTTGGTATTATATGTTTTTTGTAGAGACGAGGTTGGTCTCAAGTCCCTGGCCTCAGGTGCCTCCTTGCCTCAGCTTACCTAAGTGATAGGATTACAGGCATCAGTCACCACACTCGGTCTTGTTGTGTCTTTATTTTTTGAGTCATGGTCTCACTCTGTCACTCAGACTGGTGTGCAGTGGCATGATCACAGCTTATCATAGCCTTGACTTCCTGGACTTAGGCGATCCTCCCACCTCAGTCTACCAAGTAGCGGGGAGTCACACATCACCTTGCCTGGCTGATTTGTGTGTGTGCACGCACACATGTGCATATGTGTGTAGAGACAAGGTCTATGTTGCTTAGGCTGGTCTTGAACTCCTGGGTTCAAGTGATCCTCCCGCCTCCGCCTCCCAAAGTGCTAAGATTACAGGTGTGAGCCACTGTGCTCGACCTGTTTCACTTTTAAAAGGTGTGTCCATAGAGAAGTGCTGCCAGATGCTAACATCAGCTCACAGTGGATAACTTTGTTGAGCTTAGAAGGTATTCACAGAACTAGGTCAGACTCTTCTCACATGTGTGCAGAAAGGGCAAACCCAGCAGGCTGGGGTACCTCTACTCTACACATCCCAAAGAAAGGTCTGATCCTTGGTCTGCTCTTAGATGGTCACCCTGAAGCCCCTGGGTGTCCTTCCTAAGAGCACCTTTGTTGACCTGGGCCCCGGGACGTGGCAGTCTACATGGAAAGCATGCCTCATGGGCCCCCTGGTGTGTGCCTGATCTCTGAAAGGCTGACACACAGGTGGTCAGCCAGGCCTCCACAACCAACCTCAACAGACACCCAGGACACCAAGGCTCAGGGCGCTTCGCTGGCCTGAAACACAGCATGCCTGTCACCACACATCACTGCTCAGAGGGTCAGGTGCTGTCCACGGTTCTGCCAGGGAGGACACACCGAGGCCACACCTAGTCTGTGCAGAACCCAGCCCCATGTGCGCCACTGCTCTTGGTCTGCATCCTTTTGTTGTGATGAACAATAACCTGAGTGTAACTGCTCTGCTGAGTGCTGAATCCTTCTAGCAAATTACTGAGCCTGAGGGTAGTCTTGGGGACCCCCAACCCACAACGCTAGATGACATTTGCAGATCTGTCACTTCCAACCAAAGGTCAGGCAAGAGCTCCACCACACACAGTTATGTGGACTCTGAGATAAAGAGGTTTCCTTTGACTTGTGTCGACACCCAAAACCTGCTGCTGGAACCACAGTGTGAGCCCAGAAAGCAAGCCTGAGCAGAAACAGAGACCTTGCCTCACATTTCACTTTTGACAATAAGAATACCATATAAAGAAGCTTGCAAATCAAACAACATTCGCTGTTACCAAACTGACTCTACCACAGTGTTAGTTTTGCAAATACATGTTGTTCTGTCTTGTAATTTTAGGATGCATTCATTAAAAAATGTTATCAAGTATATAGCAAAAATTAGCTTCCAAAGTCACCCAGTGTGACGGTAATGGTGGCTAACAGTGGTTCTCATTCTGAAAATTTTTAATTTCAGCACTGAATTTTTAAATTTACGTTTTTGAGTCAAAGTCTCACTCTGTCACCCAGGCTGGAGTGCAGTGG